CTTCTTCTGCTCCTCTTCCTCCCTCAGTGCAGTGATTGTAGCTTCTTCTTCATCTCTGAGAAACTGATGAAGTTTCTCAAACTGCTGTTTAATATGGCGCTCTGTGTGCTCAGCTTGAGACTGAAATCAAATCACTTTCACTTCAATTATCTCAATCAACACAACACTGCACATCATTAATATCTGAGATAAACTCAGATACCCGACACATAACACATCCAGAAGCAGATTACTGCTTGTCATTTACAAATATGATAAACTGAAATCCATTACATTAACTATAATAAAATACGATTGTTCCTACAGCTCCTACAGCTGTAATGAAAATGACTCTTGATTCTGTTTCCTCACCTTAATGTGTTGAATTGACTCATCTTTCTCATCTTTCATTTTTTCACTATGTTGAAGTTTCTCTTGAAAGGACTTCAGTGTGGTACTGAGCTCCTCCTAGAATTGAAGAAAATAAAAATATACGAATATTAGTGCTGGGCATTAATCGCACGATTTTCTGCGCTTAATCGCATTATGCACAAAATTCAATAATGCATTCAAAAGTAGTGTATTGTGCACTTTTTTCATTTAAAAATACTGCTATATGAACAAAAGTGCAGTAACATTTGGTTTGCAAACACTTAAGGTGCTTTTTTTACAGCAGTATTCCTTTTGCATAGTAGCAGTTAAAATATTTCTTGTAAATCTCAATTTATAACATTAATCTAATCAAATTAAATATAAAACAAGCTGTTTGCCACTGCCAGGGCATTAACGTTTTTATAGAAAATATTTTATAGTTTGTTATAAAATAAGTTATGCTCAGAGTCCAGAGCCTCGATCATAACATTATAACAGGCACCTTCCGAGTAGAGACCTGCACTATCGCGGGACCCAACGCAACAGATTGAGGCACGGGACACCACTTGATGGGCGGGTAGAGACTCATGTGTGCGGGATGCGGGAGAATAAGTGTGTATCACACTAGGCAATCTTAAGCGTGCCCGAGCGCGTCTGACCCCCAAAGTCCGGTTCGTTTGACTAGTGTGATCACTCCACGCCGCGGTTCGTTTAGCCGGCCCTGGCTCGGTTGGAAGAGGTGGGCCAGAGTGCGGTTCACTTGGGCTCGGGCGCGGTACGCATGTAGTGTGAGAGGCGGCAAAAGTGATAGATCTGTAAAGCAATATATTGTGAGAGGGCCTTGTTACTGTGTCCCAAATGACTTAAGATAATAAA